GTACCCTGATCTACCCACCATGTTGGTCCAGCGCATCTACCACGCGGCCCGCTTAGGGTCACAAACACGTTACTACACCTCCCCTGGTTATCACGTGTTACGCTCATGTGATTAAATGACATGGCGCAGTTTGCAGCTAAGACTGAACACGATCACCACTCAGCTTTGGCGTGAATCCAGCTGCGTCATGGACGAAACCTCTGCCTCTCCAACCTTTCCCCCACTATCAAGGTCAGAATACAATAGTTTTTAGTTGTTTTTGTTTTTCCATAACATCTGACTCTAGACTCCTGTAGGAGTACAACTTTTAAGGTTACTAATATTGCTATTTCAAAAATAGCGCGTTCTTCTTTCGAAATAATCTCGATTAAAGGGCCGCTATTGCAGGAAGGAATGAGGACCACTGTAAGCTTTTGTCGAACAATCTTGGAAACTTTCCACGTCTGTCTTCAGTGAACTATCTGACTTATTGTTCTCTAACTTCGTTTGGTTTTCCCACCTGTTTTGAACTTGTTTGTTTGGCCAATAAGCCAACGTTGGCCTTGAGACTCAAGGTCATCCCTTTTACCTTCAATCCTTTCTGCACGCGCGTGCGACCAACGTTTGCAATCTTACACATGGCTTACTGGAGTCTAAGGTTAGAATTCAGCCAGCTCACTGCTGTGTGCGTGTGCCCACTGCCAAAGTTTGCACTTTGTTTGTTCTGGATCATTTGTACATAGCATTTGTACAGAGCTTCGGTTTTTATTGGGCTTTGACGTACGCTTTACCCTAGGCTACCGATATGTCGGTTGCTGGCAGAACTGAACTGCAAAGGTGTAGTAGTTATGCAAATGAAACAATTCCTTTGCTTAAGAATTCTGGCAGCCCAAGGAATTTCGGAGGCCAGCGCAAGGACTGATTATAAATTTCTGAATGAGAGACAGAGGGACGTCCTGTAAAGGGTTGATTTCTCTATGAGAAATGTTTTGGCCCGTCCAGACACTTGATCGAATTTACGCTCTCAAACTTCGGGTTAGCAGCATAACCTTAAGTTATTAAAAAAAAAAACAGAAAATAAGACCCGCACCTTGGACATGCCTCATTGGAACCTACCTAACGTAGACAATCCTGGCCAGATTGCTCACCCCGATGATGATTATTCCTCCCAATATAATGAGAGTAATTTCCTGAACGCTGCCGGCTAAATTGCATGCAAAAACAGAGAAAGAGAGGGCGCATATGAGAAACCGATAAAGCAACGCACTCGCCCAGGAAAACATGGTTGTCCAACCTACCCATTTCACAGTCATAAATTAGGCAGGGGTTGCGACTAGGCCCATTGCTGTCCCCAGGCCAAACCTTGTCGGCCACACGCTGTACCGCAATCAGTGGCCAAAGAACTACATCGGTCAGGAGGAAAATCTCATCGAAAGTCATCTGGGAGACATTGCGGCGGCCGCGTGAAACCTCCAGATTAAGAGAGAAAATGAACATGTCGTACAGACCGCGGATCTCATTGGTACCGTAGTTCTCAAAACGGAAGGTGATC